ACCGAAAATCATTGTACATATAACTAAACCGGACCCAAGTTTCTCGATAAGGGGCAACAAAGATTCTTTTTTGCTCGTTTATATAAAGCAGTGGATAAAAATATACGTATATGCGCAAGGCAAATTTGTTTGTTTAAATGAACACCACTAATATTTCCTGCAAACACACATCGATTTACATCTTTTATCTCGCCTCCGACACAGAACTGTTTTCGTACAAAATTACGCAAAAAAGCTTATTCGTTCGTTTTTAGGCATGCCATTGTTACGAATATGGAAAGTTCGAGAATACGATTCGGATTGCAGCATACTATTCCTACGATTCGTAGTAAAACTCGAATACGAAAGAGTTGCAGAATAGGGGTGTTAATAGTGTTAAAAATAAATATGAGCTGTGTAACATGCATTTTCATAATATTCAACTGTAAAAAATTATGAAAGAGATATTTTAAAACCGAAAATATTTCAATTTCCCTGAATATCGTGAAATATCATTACCAGAATTGTATAATGAATGGATGCTTTTGAAAATTTTAATTCATGCAAAAAGTTATCAAATTTCACTTGAGTTTGAAATTTTAGCTATGTGCTAAGCTTGAAGTATCATGTTATTTGAGTAGGCCCTCATCTAGAAGCGTTAAATTTTGAAAGCCGCTACTCAGTGGGTAAATCTAGGAAATACATTCAGCTCCATCTGTGAACTAATCAATTAGTACATTCCATACAGTTCATCCGCAAAGTTTCCCCAGATATGGGTAGTGTTCGTCCGATACCACCATGTACACGATACCAGTACTCATTTTAGAACATCGATGCTACTCCAAGTATCGCTAGAAAATTTTAGATTTTACTTGTACTCAAAAGTTCTCAGACAAAATATTTTAAAACAGGTTTGCAAATTAAAAAAATAATAATTTATGTGTTACAAAGATATAATTTAATGCAAAAAGGCTTTTTAATAAGAAAATATATGCTTATTTTTAACATAAATATGTACAGTTAGGGAAAAAAATTTTGGAATAAAAAAAACGTGATAAATTTAAAAAATACGCATATGAAAGAGCACCAACATGTATGGCTGTACCTGATTGTGAAAAGACGCTTGATACGATTGATTTCTGCAGGACATATAAGCCCAAAATACAATAGCTCAGTGGCAGTGGCAGCGGCAGTTTTTAGAAATCAGCTGTTTTAGAAAGTGTAGTGTCCAATGAAGCGACTCACAATACAATTGTGGCAGCTGGGATTACTGCTCAGTTTAGCCCAAATTCTAAATTCACTGCCGCTGCTTTCATCGCAGCAAACTTCGCATGTCAAATTTGACATAAATGAAACGCATCCAACTTCTGTTGAAGCGTAAAAGGCAGCAACAAAAATGTAAATAAACAAAAGCGAATGTCAAAAAATGCAGTCACTGACAACGCCGTATTGTGTTTGCTGCGGCAGTGACTGCTAATATTAGCAGTAACAGGTAACAGGTGATTTTAAAAACTGCCACTGCCACTGCGCTATTATATTTCGGCCTATACTTTCTTAATTACATATGAAAAAGCATCCGAGACGTGCAAAACGCCATCCGTGTAGTGAAAAATGCTTCATTTTAATACGGGCGTATTTGAATTTACATACACTACGTATAATGGAAATATTCAATTTTGAACACTTTTCACTTAATTCAAATACGAAAATTTTTAAACGGTTATCAAATAAAAAATTTTCATTTTTACAACGCGTTTTTTCCTCAGTGTATATATCTACTTATTTTTCCTGCGTAATCCAGGCTATTGTTGTATGAAATACCATAAAGCTTCAGCACATGGGATGCGGCGGGGATACATACATGCTAGAAATCGAACACATTTTTAACGTGTCAAACTTCATATATCCAATTTGTGGAAACTTTGCTAATTTGACTAGAGTTGCACAATTTTTCGACCGAGTAAATACTTGCACAATGTACTCGATACCCACCAAGTACTTGGTCACATGTATCGAAGTACAAAAAATACTCGGTACTTGGTAGTTGTACTCGAATATTTACTCATATGTACTCGTATCGGAAACTCACTAGATATGGGAAAGCTTACTGCTGATTGAAAAACACTGTAGATTGTCATTTTGTGATTTGTATTGTACTGTGGATCTTATTATTGAGAAACAATTCCTGTAAACAAAAGACGCTGCAGTCTGCGATGGTAAGTGTTTATTCCATATTCATGAATTTGTGATAGTTTTTCGTATAGACCAAATTGTTCGAATATTCGTTGATATCTCGTTATGCGACTTTTGGCAATCGACTAAAATAATACTAAATTGCAACTGATTGATACTTACCATTTATGTTAAGAAGGAAGTTAAACAATTTCTCTAGAGTAAATAAAAAATGCTTCAAGATCTTATTGAAAATATTTATTCATGTTGAAAAAAAAACAATATTTATTGCATTTAAGGAAAAAAGTTATACAACATGGCCAACATTGCATAGTTTGGATTCATGCCGAGATTTGTTGTGCAAAACCGCCGTAAACAAATACAACCTATTCAATATTGTAGTTTGACAATACCTTTTTTGATTTCGTAACTACGGCATCAGATTTTCTGCACAATCCTAATATTTTAATTTTCTGAATTTCGTCGTGTCTTCTCGCAAAAAAGGCAGCTTATTCTTAACTTACATAATTCAGACGACGTTTAATAAGTATTTTTGTCGATATCGATAATTCTATACGGCAAAATCAACTTTTTTTCTGGGTATTGGACCAAACCATTTTTTTTTAAGAGATTGAGTCATAAGTAAAAAAGTTAAAAATTAAATTATGTCAAAAAGCTGCAATTAAATTTAGAGTCGACTTAATTTTGACTATAACTACGGGCCTTTGTTTCCTAAATCCATGTCTAAGGATGGGAAAATACTGAAAAACACTACAGTGGTCCGAGAGACGAAAGTTAAGGGAGATTCCCAGATGATGGGAGTATACACCTCCTCCAATCCTCCCCGCGAGCTTTATGGCATCTATGTATACATGGAGGGACTCTCCACTCCCTACAACTTCATGCTTCCACTCGTCCCTTGCAGGTAGGAGGGTCGTAAACGCCATAGCGTTCCTTTGACTTAAAATTCAATATATTACAATTTATTTATGTACTCGTATATATGCATATATACAAATTTATTTATTTTAAGGAATTTCGCATATACATACATGTTTAAACTTTTCTACATTTTGATATTTTGAAT